ATGATCTGGCTACTGCATTTTCTCATTAGTTGTATATTGTGATTACTGTTGATGAACTTACAGACTGACCTGAATTCTTGTGATGTCAGAAACATATTTAAAACTTAACATCTGAATGGTTACAGGACCATCATTTCCATTAGCTATGACCTTTTAGTCACCGCTGCCGATATGTGGGAACACAGTAAACGTGCTTAAACAGGGCTGCACTCATTTTACATCGCCTCGCTGCCACTATTTTGATTGTCTACTAAAGGCATAAAACAGACAAATAAAAACACAGAAGGAACAAAAGACAAGCTGTCAGACAATCGGACAGTTTGTAAACAAGCCATACAACTTGATCAGATTATCTCAGTGTTTTTAGAACAGAACAAACAACACCTGAAATGTCACTAATGAAGTCGGTCTGCTAAATTTACTATTTGCCATTTCCAGAATAAGTCTGGCTAAACTGGAGTTTTGTCCAAACCTGTCTGGCCACATGCTTGTGTTTCTGGTTCTGGCCTTGTCGGACTTCTTCGGTGACATTGCTGTGCTGCCACATCTCACCGTTTAACTGCAGTTGTTTGCAGAAGTAATTCACATTTTGTGATTGGTCAAGTGAAAAGAGGGAAATACACCCTCTGCAGCAAACAGATATGAAACACATGCCTCTAGTTAATGTTAATGCACAGATACCTTTTCAGGAACCCAAAACACAGAAACAACTAAACAATAATTGTAGCCATTTCCAAAGTTTGGGCACCTGTTCGGCAGATACCACAGTTTACAAATACCTTTAGTAGCAGCTAAGAGTTTTCTTGATTCAGGAATGTTCTTCTTTGCTGATCAATTTAGGTTCAGAGATGTTTTAGGCTGTGTTACACTTAAGATCTCCCCACAGATTTCCACTGATGTACAGAAGAGGGGATTGAGCACGACTGCAAAGCTTCAGCTTGAGTTTGTTGAAGTAGTTCACGGTGGGTTTTGTAGTTTGATTTGGATCATTGGCCTGTTGCAGAAAACCAACTCTTTTCACTTTGTTGACTTAGAGCAGGACATTAGCATCCAGAATTTGCTACTACTTAGAGGAATTCATTCTTGTGGCTGCCACACAACTTGGAAATTATTTCCACCTCCATGCCTGGACATTTCTACATGTCACCATTACAGTTTCTTAATTCAGGAATGAAGACTTGAAGAAAGGCACTTCTGTTTGCTGCAGGGTTCTATTGACTTCTTTCCATTTCATAAATCAACATAATATGTGAGTGACCATATAACTTAATAATAGAAATAACAGGTATGACAACAAAAACAAGACCTACAGTAAGTTGTAATAAGTATGAACTGTTATGTGAGATGAAACCTTGTGGCTGCAGAAACAGACAACAGCCTCCTGTCTGCACACCACACTGATCAGCGAGGGAGTGCTGGAGCCAGTTAATGGGAGGATGACAGACACACACCCTCAGAGGGATAGAGACTCCCCAGAGTCCCTCAGCAGGGTGATGAGGGTGTGTGTGTGTGTGTGTGTGTGGAGGAGGTGCTCAGAGACACGCGCCATCTGGGTCACAGTCCACAGCAGACCAGAGGCAGGATTAGAGCCCAACCCCAGGATTAGGGGCTCCTGTTAACAACCGCAGTAACCCAACTAGTTCTCTCTCTCTCTCTCTCTCGCAAACACACAAACCCACACACACAGCCTCTTACCCCTCACAGCTGAGGGGATGCAGCAGCTGAGACAGCAGAGGACCCCATTACACTGAATAAATGCACAAACACACTCCTACATGAAAACACACAGGTACAACAAATCCATGCAGAGCATACAGACAAATACTGCACAAGCTCAAATTTACACAGTCCCATAAAGACAAATATGCACCACCAGTCAAAAAGACAACACAACCAGGAGGATGTTGTAACACACACACTCACAGCTGACAGTGCCACGGCAGCCTTACAATAACAAACAGTTGAGCTACTAGAAATACAAGAGCAAGAGATGAGACGAGAGCCCTGAAAACTGAAACCAACACAAAACACATCCCTCAGATTCCAACAGCAAAGAGAACCAACCGAAAAATGACAAACATTTTTATTCATGCTACTGCTGTGACTGGCCAATCAAATCCTTGATTACGTCTGGGTGCTTTGATTGTCAAATCTCTGATTACAGTCACTGTTTAGAGCTAATTACAGTTATTTGTGATTGCTTTGTGAATTTAATTATGACAATGATAAAAGATTACATTTAGACTGTCAGTGAATGGTGATTATAGGACACAGTGGTGGAAAAAAATAACTGCAAACAAGTATGTGCACGATTGTATGGCAAAAGAGAAATGATTGTTTCACTAGTTGTCATTTGTTTTCTCAAAGCACAAACAATAATGCAAGCCCCCAGGCACAGAATACAAACTGCCAAAATGGCACTGAGACAAAAAAAGAAACATTTAGATTTGGTATTGAACATGTTTGTTTTTTTCTGCAGGTTTGTTTCGTTTTTGTGCATTAAGCAAATGTCAGCAGCAATTTCAAACAGACCCCCAAGGATTCAGAGGCAGTGTCTGTCCCTAATGCCAAAGAAAAGATGTGATGAACTAAAGAAAATACATCTGCACAGTTGTGATCACTGCAGAAATCTTGCCTTCAGCTGTCATGTCTGAGCACACGTAGCCAACAAATACATAACAGCAAAACCTTAAAAACCTTTATGAAATGAGAGAATCAATGTGTAACTGTTACAACAAGCAAATTACATTTGTTTCAGTCAGATGAAGATTTTTGCAAATTTGCAGGAGAATTCATAGATTTGACTTTACACCCACCGCAATGCGAGTCCCTGAAAACAATATCAAATAACTGTTCTGCCTTGCTTTTACAATCTTTTGTCTCGCTATGATCCAAACAGCAAAGACAAAATGAGTACAGAAGTTAAAATACTTCATCATATGTGACTGGAACAGGTTTTATAAAGTCCTTTCTCAAAAGCAACAATATAAACAAAAACCAGATCTTCCCTCAAGCATCCATGAAACTATAAGAACTCAAAACAGAACATACACAGAAACTAAGACCCCGTCATTTTCCATTACTGTCAAATAACAAACACAAACCGAGCCAGAAAGTTTCTGCTTCTGTATCGGAACAAAAACAAATGAGCTTCACATGCAACAACAGGGTTGTGAGGAGAAGTCATGGAGTTCCAAACAACCTCATTGTACAACACAAAAAAGTGGCACCGCTTTTGACAGCAACATAGGATTTTTTATTACTTAGTTGCAAAACACTTTTACACACTAACAAACTACACCAACAAATAAAAAAGGTATTTTTTAAGTTTCATTCAGAGGAACACAAGAAGTCCACTTAGGTCCTGCAAACGGTAACAGTCAGAAAAGGCATTTAAAAGCAGTATTTGTCAGTGAACATATTGACTACAGCAGCAGTGGAGCAGCATTTAGTAGCAGCAAAAACCCCGACACAGCCACACAACTTCAAAGAATTAATAAGACCAACTGGCGGTTCACCTCACACCTTCTGTTAAAAGCTGCACCTGAACACAACATACACAACACTACAGCCAACAGCAAGTTCATCACTCACATATTATAGGCTGTGTACCTGCGTTACCAAGAAAAATATTAAGCTGTCTGTATTTTTACCCCTTTGATTTAACACCTCATCACACAGTCCGAATAAAAACTGAGAGTTGGGTTTGTCTTTTGCTTGTAAAACAACAAAAGCACAGAGTGAAAATATGAACGAATCACAAATTCATTAGAGCCAGTCGGACAGCTCTGAACACACCGAATCTCCCTGATTAGGGCCGACTAAAGCCAAAAAGGCTACATGAGAGCATTAGGATTTAGTGATACGCATGTAGCTGGTAGAGTATTTGTGAAAAGACAGGGAGGTGGTTTGGTCGCACAGTGATACTTTGCAACAGACAGATAAAGGTTACGGGCAGAGGAGCAGTATTTGGCAAAAGACAAAAGAGCTACAGTGAGTGAGTCATTTCTGGCAGGAGAGATGGTCCTCAAGCTTTTGGCAAGAGGAAAATCAGAAAGCAGCAGTGTCTGTAAACAACACTTAGTACAACAGTAATTTGTAGTTGACAGACAAGACTAGGCTAGTAAATAGTATCTGGTAGTGAACATGACGCATGGCAGCAAGTGCCACTGTAGAGTGACAGTGTAGGTGGAGTAGGTCGTGGCAGGTACAGGCTAAAGGAGACAAGCAGTGTATGGCAAAAGGCAGCTAAAAGGCAGAGCAGTTGATCAGTATCTGGCAATGGAAGAGGAGCTGACCAGTTTGTTCCACACTTCCCCTCCACGCCGTTTGCTTAGCCAGTATGGACCGCCTCTTTAAACACACAAGTTACTGCACAGAAACACCCATTTACTTCACTGTGCGGTCGTCTGGACAGTAACACAATAACACGACCACACTGCAGAGCAGCCATAAATCTACTTAATGGTGCATTCAAGAAACCCATAAAAGCAGTAAAAACTTAAGATGTGCCAAAAGCACAAGGTCAAGTGAGATTACTTTGCACAACATGAGAAGGAAAACTGTCTCTTTGTTTATCATAAATAAACCACCATCCAGAGGTCAGAAGAAAAGGTAAAGCAGGACACAAGAAACCTCTAATAAAAATGTGGATGAGAAACAGGACAATGACCTCTGACAGAAAAGTGTAGATGAAAAACAGAAGAGCAAACAAAGACAGAGAATAACTGACAAAGGGAAACTAAATGTGTCAGAGAACATGAAACCTGCAGGTTTCATCAAGTTAATGTTTTCCATTTGTCGTAATGAAAAATGAAAAGATCGATTTCAGCGGAAAAATTAAGACAAAAAAAAAAACAAAACCCAGACCCAGACAATTTCACACTTTACTGCATTATGAAGCGCAACTTTAAAACTGAAGGCTTCAAAGGGTTTTTTTTTTAATTAATCCCAAATACCCTGAAAAAGAGGACTGCATCAGAGATGGACAGGATACTCACAGTGAAGAAGAGGTCCATGACACGGGTGTCCAGCAGCGCTTCCCTCCAGGACTCCGTAGGCTTGAGCATGACGTTCTGCGTGGCCTCGAACATGGCAATGTAGTGTCGCCCCAGTGACCCGCTGCCAGTTAAGGCCAACAACAACATGAAGAGGAAGAAGAGGAGGAGGAGAAGGAAGAGGAGGAGCAACACACGCCAAAACACCAGCTCCTGTCACCAAGCTACCTCTCAGTGGGTATTTTGGTCTCTGTGTGGGTCTTTGGTTTTGAGTGGCTGGCAGCAGAGACTTGTTACTCACTTGTTAACCAACTCTCCCTCTTATTAACCCTGTCAATCTTTATTCCACAAAAGTTTTTTTTTATTTTTTCACCCTTCCCTGATTGGTTCCCTTTTATCTTTCCTTCCCTCTCTTCCCTCCTCGTCAGCTCTTCATTCACCACAGCCTTCACCCACCTTCATTCTCACCCTCTCCTCCGTGGTTTATCCACCCTTTACCCTGACTCGTCTGACACCCTCTTCAACTCCCTTCCCATCAGCACTACCTCCTTGTGCACTCTCTCTCCTCTGCTTCCTCAAGATCTTAAAAACACACAAGACACTCGCTCTCCCTGCAGCCAGTTGAGGCTCTATGCTGCTCTGCCTCTTTGTCCACTCCTCTACAAAACCTCCTCGAGACTCCTTACTGCCCTGAAACACTCCCTAGCAAGACTTGCCCGATTACACGCGCTTCACTTGAAACTTCTATCAAATTCTTTCATCTTTTGCTTATTAACAAGCTTTTCCTCATTTCCAAACCCTCTCTCTCTTTTTGTGCCCACAAATTTGCTCAAGATTTAAAACTTCATCTAAACCCACATCACAATCACATTGTTCTAAAATCTAGAAAACCTTCCAAATGTCCCTACAACAGACTTTTTGAAATTCTATAGATGCAAAACATACACTTTCTTCCTGTCATTATTCAAGACATACCTATAACATCCTTTTTTCTTAGCTCATCAAAAACAATATTGTTGTTGATAGAAAAAGTGAATGACTGATAATAGCTGCCGATTCATTTTCTGTTGATCAATTAATCAAATAATGAATTCAGCTCAAACTCAAAAGCCTTTGTTTTACAGCAAATCATTTTGTGTTGAACTATATATCAACCTGAAATATTTTAGTACCTTTGAAAGCTTTTGACACTGTAATAAAAATAAAATAAAGCTCTGTGGGTTTTGACAACGCTGCACAGCATGAGTTTATAATGACTGACCAGAGGAGCTGAATGGCTTTAACATACTGCATGGATTATTTTACTGTCTCTATGCAGGACACTGGATGGAGGACACCACTTTAACTACCACCACGACCACCACTAATAATCGCAACTTTTGTTGCTTTCCATCATCCACACATAACACACACAAAATCATATCAGTGCCCCGTGGCTGGGTGACAGCAGAGGAATGCCCGACCAAAGCCAAACAGCAGCAGAGGCCAGCGAGGTCACGCATTCCTTCGACACCAGTCCACAGTCACTCCCCATGAACACACCCCACCACACCACACCACACTTTGGCACAGAAGTTGGCACCTGTGTAAAAGGTCTGTGGGACTGTGTGTCTCTGTCCAATGCTTGGCTTTTAGGCCTTGTTAAAAATAGTTGTGGCTGAGCAAAGAACCTCTAACTGAACCTTTTTAGAAAGACTGAATAAGAACAACTGTGGGAAAAGTAAGAAGTGTGCCACAGTGTTTTTACTTTGCTTATGAAATGATCCTTGTTTCACCTAGTTTTAAGTGTCTGCAACTTTCATACCTGTCTTGATGCTCTTTTCACACCATTAATTAAGTTAGATGAAAACTTTACCTTTTACCTTTCAAGTCTAATAGATACAAGACAAAATACAATGTAAAATGAGAACAGAGAGACAGTAAAGGCAGGAGTAAGTGTGCTACAACAAGTAAGACTGACCAGGTCCTGCAGCCGGAGGGACCTCCTCAGTGACTGAGGTTGTACAAAGGTCATATGATAGAGACACAGCTCACAAGAGACCTCAGGCGTGACAGCTACACAGCTACTTCGACTATTTTACACAGCAGCACAGAGATGTACTACAAGTAAAAAGGGTCTGAGAGGACGTAACAGCAAACGTATAGCAACACTATAAGGTAGGGATAAAAGGATGCCTCCAATTGTCATCAACATCAATTCAGTTCAGCATTTATAATAAGAGCAGAACATTAGAGCAATTTTTATGTAACAAATTTTAAATTCAGAACTGGGATAACTGGTTATATTTGCTCAGATGTTCACTGAGTGCATCGAGGATATTTAAGACTTCAGAGTATAATTTGATAGCAAACATTTAAAGACTTGTAGGCAGTCGGCTGACAACAAACAAGTCATTATGATAAAGACAGGTGTAATATGTGACACTATTAATGAGCTACAACGAGCTTTGTCTTTAAAGCGGTGTACAAGAATGTTGTAGTAAAAAAGGTTAATGAGACTTTAGGGCGTTTCAGTTTGACACAAAGTAAACATTTCCAAGTGTGCTAAGGATGAAATGGTGTTAGGACAACTGGTACAGGATCACTGTCACTGCTGATTAGGCTCCCAACTGTTTTCTTGATCCACTGAAAAGGTATTAAAAAATATCTGCAAAGTGTGGGTCACAATTTCTAAAAGCTCAAACTGACATCATCACACTGCTTCCATTCGATGGAATGGAAGTGCTTGAACAGTCTGCTTGCTGAGCTCACAATAAATGTTCATCCTCTACCTTGAAATCTGGTCTAAAAAAGATGCATGTGTGTGTGTGTGTGTGTGTGTGTGTGTCTGTGTGTGTGTGTGTGTAGTGTAGATGCCTCCAGGATGAGTAATGTATGCAGAGTGACGAGGACATGTGGGCTGTGGTTGGGTGGGTTTTTAAAAGACATCACCTGCTACTATCTCAACCCTTCCAGCAGGCTCAAAAATAACTAATGTGACACGTCAATTTTCCACTTGAAAGATAAGACGAACAGAAAAAACAAAGACACAACAAGCGCACACACACTCAGCTCACCAAATATACAACCAATGTAAACGCCTGACCACAAGAGTTTTAAATCAAACACAAGTGAAAAGATTTACACATCCCAAGTTCCCAATTGCCAAATTTGCAGGAACGATGACACACAAACACATACTGTACTGTCCTGACTGACACCAGCCATGGGTCTAATACCAGTAAAACTGCTTCTGGTGGGTTTGCCTGATCTTGCACTCACTCTGGCAGAGAAACAAACCCCATTTCAAGTTTAATTTCCTGCTCTGATCCTATTTATGATGACTTGCCCACAGCCAGAAGTCTTTCTTCAGTGACACTAAGCAGTATTTAAGGTTTTGCATGTGAACCCTCGCCCAGGTAGTGTGCACTGACATACAGCTCTCTACTTCAAAGTATGAGGCTAAATAGTTGCAATAACAACCCATCATTCTTTCCTTCATGGACTGCTATACATAAATTAATGATGTGACTACAAACAGCAATAGCTGACTGAGCCCTTTCTGAAGGTGAATTATGTGGAGCACAAGACAAAACAACTAAATCTGTCAACACCAATATCTTTTGTTTGTTCATTTTTTTACTGCATGCCAAAAAAGTGAGTTAACCATAAATTACATTCTACATAACTTTTCAGAATCCTTGGTTGGCGCCATCACACATTTGTGAGGCTGTACTTCACAGCCCTGAGCTAAAAACCAACATCGGCACACTGACAAGTCTCTTATTCACATCCATGTTTCCCTCACTCACATCTTTTCCTTATAGTTTTAATGCATTTTTCCATCTATCTGGTCACTCGCTTCATTTCAGTGCGATTTAAAAAAAACAAACAAACTGTAATACAGTGAATTTGCAGATCCTTGAAAATTGGCTCTCTTTTTTGTGAATGACTGTCACCGTCACAATTTGGTTCAATTTTCTTGTCAATATGCAGGTGTGTATTTTTCTTTATTAGATTTTTTTCCCCTCAATAAATTAATTTTTTATACTCCAACAGGAATGATCTGAAACAAATATAGGCCTGGACATTAAAAACATTAACTCTCAAAAATGCAATAGCAATATCTGCACATGGTTAACTGGTGCCAAGATTGTGTGATTTCTAATAAATGGGATAGACTGCGCAACACCCCAAGCTTAGTTTATTTCACATTCCAAACTCTACTTTGACTCAAAATCTGCAGATGTTTGAATCCAACGGCATTTTTGTGACCACTTTAAATTGCCAATAAACTGGCTATCTCAGCAATCTGAACACTGTGCAGGTCTGAACAACCTTCATGTTTGAGGATTGTGGATTAGCAAGCTTCCCCTGTATCCTCTACTCATTATGGTTGATCCTCACTGATGATGGCCCGAGTGCACAGGAAGACAGGCTGAACGTCTGCCAGCAGCCGCGCGAAGAGCTCAGTGCTATGCTAAGGCACGTGGTCGGGTTTAAGAGATATATCCTGCCTTAAGTCTCCCCTGCAGCCTTGCCGTGTGAAATAACAGTCCAGGAATACCTCCTCAGAGACCCAGCCCCCCCCCCCCCCTCCCCCCTTTCCCCATTTGCTCTACTCTTTGGCCTCATCTGTTTAGACAGTATTTGTTATTAACTCTCCCTCTACTGCACTCAATGAGAGCTTGTTTCCTCAGAACAGAAAATTAATAAATTATTGATGAGGATAGGAAGTTAGACTTCAGTTTAAGTGACATTTATTTTAAATTGTAAGTTATCAAACACAAGCATCTACTGTTGTAGATGCTGCCTTCTCCATTTGTTGTTTTGTTACACTGGATTTAAATAAAATTCAAAGCACAAAATATAACATCTCCTGCCAGACAGTACAGCAATGTCAGAATATTTAGAAAAACCTTGATGAACTAAAATACATTTAAATGATTCCAGGAACAAGCCTAAAGATGGACATGTACACACATGTCATGGATGACCACTTTAAATTCCACACTACTTAAATAATATATGGATCAACAGAATGTCCATCAGCATCTTGACTGCGTTTAGACGGCAGTAGTAGATTGTCCCTCCAGGTCAGGACCAAGGCAAACATCCAGCATCAACTTACACACTT